CTCTCTCTTTGATATAGTAGAGGTTCAAAAATATGGTCTATTGTGTATGGAAAATTTATAGTTTGAGATTGAGTGATATCATTAGAACTCACTCTGTCTTCTAAAATTACTTAATATTTTAATAGTTACATGAGAATTAGACAAATTTTGATTAGTTGCTTCATACCAAATGTATCATTTTCTGACATTGTTAAATGCGATTTCAAATGTCGTTGTTGATGTTGTTAATATTGATGTTGTTAATGTTGATGTTGATGTTGTTGATGAAAACATGAATTAATTTTGTATGTTAATTTGTTATAGGGGTTACTTGTGAAGATTGTGATTGTTTCCAAGAATCTTACTCTGTAATTCTAGAAGTTGGTGATTTCTCTACAAGTGCTACAGGTATTCACTGTTTTTGTTTAGCTTACTTAGTTTTGTTGTTTCATACCAAATGTATCATTTTATGACGTTGTTAAATGCGATCTCAAATGTTGTTGTTGATGTTGTTAATGTTTATGTTGTTAATGTTGATATTAATGTTGATGTTGTTGATGAAAACGTGAATTAATTTTGTATGTTAATTTGTTATAGGGGTTACTTGTGAAGATTGTGATCGTTTCCAAAAATCTTACTGTGTAGTTCTAGAAGTTGGTGATTTCCCTACAGGTGCTACAGGTATTCGCTGTTTTTGTTTAGCTTACTTAGTTTAGTTTAGCCTACTTAATTAGTATGGATAAAAAATGGATGTCTTTCAATCGATTGTCAAAAGAGTACGAGAATGGGGTATCAAAATTCGTTAAGTTTGTTGTTGAACACGCCAAAGACCCCAGTAGGATCACATGTCCTTGCTTAGGTTGCTGTTATGGGCGTCAGATTGACGCAGTTCAGTTGGAATCTTATTTAAAGAGACATGGAATTGATCGAAGTTATACATGTTGGACATTACATGGTGAGATAAGTAACAAGAATGTTGAACCGGGGGATAATACGACATATACTTCAAATGACAATGGCAGAGATACATATGATTATGATCGAGTCGAAGAGATTGCAGAAGCACTTGAAGAAGATCTTCAGGATTGTCCCAAGATGTTTGAGAGGTTGGTAAGCGATGCAGAGAAATCGTTGTATAAAGGTTGCACTACTTTCACAAGATTGTCTGCGGTATTAAAGTTGTACAACTTAAAGGCGGGTAATGGATGGTCGGATAAAATATTCAGAGTTATTAGCCCTTATGAAGAGATGCTTCCGGAGTATAATGTTATTCCTAATCGAACCTATGAAGCTAAAAACATGTTATGCTCTATTAGAATGATTGCATTTTGTTTTGAAATGAATATGCATCATTATATGAGTGTCCTAGATGCGGTGTATCTCGGTATAAGAAAAAGTTGTCACCAATAAAAGTCTTATGGTATTTTCCTATAATTCCGAGATTTAGATGCATGTTTCATAGTGAAACAGATGCAAAACACTTGATTTGGCATGCAAATGATAGAATTATAGATGGGAAGTATCGACATCCGGCAGATTCACCACAGTGGATGAAAATTGATAATGAGTATCCTGATTTTGGAGAAGAAGTCAGAAACCTTCGTTTGGCATTATCAACTAATGGAATGAATCTGCATGGTCTACAAAGTATCCAACATTCCACATGTAATTATTATGATTTATAACCTACCTCCATGATTATGTATGAAGCGTAAGTACATGATGTTATCTATGCTAATTTCTGGTCCTAAACAACCAGGGAATGACATAGACGTATACTTGACACCTTTAATTGAAGACTTAAAGAGTTTGTGGGAGAACAGTGTGGAGGTTTATGATGGATATAGGAAAGAAAGTTTCAATTTGAGGGCGATGTTATTTGGCACAATTAATGATTTTCCAACCTACAGAAATTTATCGAGGTGTAGCATTAAAGGTCAATGTGCGTGTCCTATGTGTGAAGAAAACACATATTGGACGCGATTGGAATTTGGTTAGAAGAATGTCTTTCTTGGTCATCTTAGATTCTTAAATTCTAATCATCACTACCGTGGGTGGAGAAAAGCATTCAATGGAAATTCATAACAAGGTAGAGCTTCACCTACATTGACAAGTGAATAAATTTTTGAAAAGGTGAAAGATGTGAGTACTAAGTTTGGCAAGCCTTTTGCTCATACGCTTGTCACGCGTGTGTGGAAGAAGAGGTTAATTTTTTTTTTTGAATTTCCGTATTGGAAGTCGTTGTATGTAAGACATTTTCTTGATGTTATGCATATTGAAAAAAATGTATTTGAAAGTGTTATTGGTACCTTACTCAATATACAAGGAAAGTCTAAGGATGGCCTTAAAGCAAGAAAGGACTTGTAGCAATGGGAATAAGAAATGAATTAGGACCCTTGAAGAAAGGAAATCAAACATATCTACCACCTGCTGCTTATACTTTATCTAGAAAGGAGAAAAAGAAATTGTGTAAGTTTCTAAGTGAAGTTAAAGATTCAGAAGGATACTCTTCAGATATTAGAAAACTTGTGTCTATGAAAGACCTCAAGTTAAAGAGTTTAAAGACACATGATTGCCATGTTATAATGGAACACTTTCTACCAATAGGTATACGTTCTATTTTGCCAGAAAAAGTAAGAAGCACAATAACTAAATTGTATTTTTTCTTCAGGTCAATTTATAGTAAGGTGATCGATCTTGCGATCTTACCAACATTGCAAAAATAAATAATTATTACTTTGTATGAGCTTGAAATGTATTTTCCTCCATCATTTTTTGACATAATGGTACATCTAGTTGTTCATCTTGTAAAAGAGACACAGTTGTGTGGACCAACTTATATGAGATGGATGTACCCTGTTGAACGTTATATGAAAATATTGAAAGGGTATGTGAAAAACTAAAGTCGGCCAGAGGGATGTATTGTTGAACGATACATTGTTGAAGAAGTGATTGAGTTTTGTACTAAACATTTGTCCAATGTTCAATCCATTGGCCTCCCAAAATCTCACGTTGTTGAAAAAATAGTGGGAAATAGTTAATTGGAAATAAAGTTGTGACAATTTCAATGGCTAAACGAGAGCAAGTGCATTTGTATGTTCTGCACAATGACATTGAGGTTAAGTCGTATGTTGAAATGCACAAGGACTTTCTCCGAGGTTT